TTCCCAGATTTGGTCTTTTGTTTTTTCTCTCTACAACATCCCTTTGGTGTTATTTCTGGAGGGAAATGAATCCAGATGGAGGAAGAGTCTGAAACAACAGTAACTGCACATACATTTTTCGAAAAGATTTAACAGCACTGCTCTCTACTGCATGCAGAACATCAGTAGAAATGACCTTTCTCCATGCATCCATACCATAGCTGTAAAAATACCTATTAACCTTTTAATGCCTCTTAATGGGTTGTTGCTTTTCTTTCTGCTTACCATTTATTTTCTTTTCCAGAATGTATCTGCAGCAAAGTATTTCAGTGCTAATCCAACATTGTGGAACCTGACATTCTACTAGCGGTTTTAATATTATAAAATGCATCAAACTAGAGTGCAATTTACTACCTTTAGCTTAGGGTCATCCAATTCCAGTCCTGGAGAGCCAGAATCCAACCGAGTTTGCAGATTTCCATGCTCAATGACATCAGCTAAGCAGCTAATTACCAGGTTTAGTGCATGTGTCTGAGCAGAGAAATATACAAACTGTCTTGCAAATTGGCCCTCCAGTGCCCTGTACTACAAAGCGGGGTTACTGGCTTATCAGGGTAACATGGCGGATTTAAGGTACCGCAGTTTAAATGGACTTCATATTTGTTCACTTACAATTTGCTCAGACTACCTTAAATCCGACAAGTTAAGATAAGCCAGTAACCCGCTTCGTAGTACAGGCCCCAGGACGGGACCTGGGGAACCCTGCTCTGGCTGATTAGATAATATACGCTACTTTGTTATCCTGCAAAAGATGTCTTTCTTTTACTGTATCATCCTGAGAATGGCTAGTGTCTCTCGATTCACGGCAAGACGCGCTACCTATGCATGACAGACACTCACCTAGAGTCCGGAAGGGTCTCTGCTGAGGGACCAGCGAGAAGAAGCCGGGCTTCAGGGCGTTGGTGATGATGACGTCAAAAAGCTCCTCAAAGTCCTTCCTGAAACAGCCACTTCGGATGAGCATCCCAGAACAAACCGAGTGAGAGGTCACAGACTCAAGAGGGACTTGAACAGCCCGGCAATTCGGATGACGGACAAATATTTTGAGTTGGCAAGCTGTGCTCACAGCAGAAACGCAGAAACACTAAACAGTTTAGTTAAAATTGCAGCAAAAAAAAACACAACTTCCACAACTTAAAAGGCAAATAAAGTTCTTATCAAAATGGCAGTAGTTAATTTGTGTTGAACTTCAGCACTAAGCTCATTTCTCCAATGATTGTACTCGCTCTCATTGAACCAGACTGGAACTAATAAAGTCTGGATTATTATATATATATAAACCAAGATACTATGAAAAGGACATTATGAACAAAAGTATTCAAAATAAACCAGATGAGGGTCAAGTCGGATAAAACGTTTCGACATCAGAACTGCAAACCCACCATTTTTTACCATTTCTCTGTGGAAATATCCGTGACTTTGACTGCAACTTCTAATCATTTTGAAGCATTCATTTTTATACAGTAGAAGTGTAGCTCTACACTGCCACAATATTCAGCATTTTTTCAATTGCACCAACAGCTTCCAATGAACAAGCGTTAATGGTGAATGAGACCATGAAAGGAATAGAGCAAGCCAGGAATGGGAAGCCAAACCTCACTAAGAACATAACTCTACGTACAGCGTCGAGACGGCAGATGTAATTCTGGTCAGCACACTGGCCTACTGGTTCAACCTCAGAGTTCATTTCCTGGCTCATTCCCAGCCGTGCATGTCCAGCCCACGACTTAGTCGCGAGAAGCTTGGGCTTTTGTGGGTCTTCGGCGAAACATGAAAAACTACGCTCCTTCCCAGATGGTTTAAAGCGAAAACCACAGAAGCGGTGTGGACTCTCTGCTCGATGAGTCCCTGGTATTAGGCCGCCACCACACAGACGACACGCCTGCCCACACCACTCCAGATGTTTCCTCCAGGGACTGACCTGAGGAGCAGCACTAGGGAGGAAGCTTCACTCTAAGCACTGGGGAGCCTGAGCTCAACACACAAAACCAAGGCTGCCTACCCAGACCAATAGGACTAGAGGTTCCCGATAACCTTACGCACATCAGAAAGATTTTAATTAAAGACAGTGGTTCTGAGATGCTAAAGTTTGCAGTGTTTTGGTAGGAGGCAGAAATACAAGACCCCACAGGAAATAGCCACAGGAAGAGGCTCCACCACAGGACTCCCACAAGACAGAAGGAATGGCTCTGTGCTGGGGACTGCTTTGGGAGACTGACTAAGAAGGCCTGCTCTGTGCTGGGGACTGCTCTGGGAGACTTTCTAAGAAGGCCGGCTCTGTGCTCTGGGAGACTGACTAAGAAGGCCGGCTCTGTGCTCTGGGAGACTGACTAAGAAGGCCTGCTCTGTGCTGGGGA